CTTGCCCGACCTGCAAAAATTTTACTCAAATTAAAATGTCACATTCATTTCCGTGAACCTTTTCACCGTAACTCGTGCGTCTCGTCAAAACTGGTTATATTCCGCGAACGCATAATAACAGCGATTAATTTCATAAATGAATAGATGGCAATTATAATTTTATGATGAAAAGAAAATAAGAAAAGAGAAACTCGTTAAATTCGTTATACCATACAAAAATTCAAAATATTGGTAAAACAAATTTTCTACAGATAAACAAATGAACGAATAAAAGGAACTATTGAATCATAATTGTATCATAAGATTTTAATCAATTTAATCAATTAATATTATTATAAATCACAATAATTTAGATTAAATTTTAATTAGGTTACCTAATTTATTTAATTTTATATTTTATTAATTTTACTTTAATATGATAAAAATTAATGGAATAAAGCAAAACGAGTGGTAAAAAAACCATTGAATATTTTTGTTTATATTAATAAGAATTTGGAATTATATCATGGATTATTTTGTTCAGTAAATATGAATTTGATGAGTCAGAAAAAATCAATCAACGGATCTTAGTAATGTCATGTTTGACTTTGTATTTTTAAACAGACTGAATAAAAAAACAAGACTGAATGCGGAGAGGAGACGTGATGCTCTTAAAGTTTGCATTATTAAATGATATCTATACAATTGCATTCAGTTCCAAAAACATAATATCGTATAAAATATTATCATCTTTCTTAAAAAAGGCACTTTAAAAGATTATATACATATTTAAAAAATTTTGTGCACTTTGTTGAGTTATAAGTATAACGATTTTAAAGAACAACATTTTTTTATAATGCATGAAACGTTATTTTCTTATATTAAATGACATATTAATTTTATTTTAAACTTATATGAAAAAAATTCGTCGAAATATGAAAGGTAATTTAATACTTTTAAATATTACCGCCATTATGATATATTTCTTCTTCAATTGTAATTCCATTTGTAAATGCATATATATGTATGTAATGTATCTTTCTGTTAAAGTTCATTTCAAACAGACGAATACATAACCTAATATACTTACATTATATATTTTACACATTGAATAAACAATATTTTATATTAAATGAGTTATACATTTGATAACAACTGTTGAACAACTCTTGAATGGTTCTTCGTATGGGATCATTCAAATAGTGCTCAGCCTAACCTTAAGAAAAACACAAAACTCCGAATTCTTACCTGATAAAAGTCGAATCTGCTGCAGGACTGGAGGGTCTTGGTGAGGAACTTGCAGTGGACGCGGTATTGGTCTCCTCCACGTCCATCATCATTCATACCGACAATGACGGATCAATGCGAACGTTGGAAATTAACGAAGAATTATTTTAACGAGAACAGCAAAATAGGAATTAAAAGGGATATTATATGGAGGATAAATGATTTTGTCAGACCCGCCAGTCTCTGAATGTCCGATCCCGCGGGGGCAGAAACCATAAAATCGGGAAGCTTGATAAAAGGGTTGGGGGTTGGTTTCATGCGCCCGTCCACGAGCGCGGACTTACGGAAAACAACTGACAAACGATATTACCCCCACCGTAGATAACCACTATCCGGCGCCTCTAACCCTGCGCCGCGAACACCTGCCGCGCAGGAACGTTATCATCGCGCAGGCGTTGTACCTTTAAAATATCCTTTTTGAATTTTTATGTAATTAAAAAAATTTTGCCATTTGATATTATTTGTACGTAATACAAATTGCAGATTAAAAATTTCAACTCGGAAATTATTTATATATGTGTGTGGAAATATATATGTGTGAGTAAAGTGAAAATACAATCGCATATTTTTTTTTTATTTTTATTTAATTCTTTTTAAACATCAGAAATAGTTTTTTCTTTTGTTGAATGATAATGACGAGCAAAAGTTTCTCCTACGAGCAATGGAAACACAAGAGAAGCTTCTGCATATATCTAGAATATTAATAAATATTAATTTAATCTATTTTATTCATTTTGAATAATATGTTTCACAAAAATATTCTTACTTTAACTGGTTTTGCATCCATTCGAATTTTACCCCATGAAATAGCTTCATCTGGACGAGCACCGCTATCACTCCCATCAAATTCTGATGCTGTATTAATAAATACAGAGTAATCAGCACCATTTCTCTAAAAAATAAATTATTTATTTTAAATCAATTCATTATCAAAGTTTTTTTATATTTATTTATTTTTTTTTCATTACCATAAGATTTGCATTACAAATATGATGTTTTACAACACCACCTCCAATAATAATCATGCCACTTTTCACTGCTTTCATAGCCATTGTATTTAATCTCCTAAGATCTATAATATAATTAGCATTTGAATATATAAATAATATTTATTTGATGAATAAAATAAACCATAAATTATTATATATTTAAAAAAAAATAAATCATATATAAAAATTTGAAATTATTATTTTACAATAAGTTAAAACCTGAAATTATATCTATAATTAAGCCTGGGTTCTTAAAAGAATGAAAATACATCATATCACCAAGACTCCCATCTGTTAAAGCAGGACTAAACACCGGAATTTTATTTTTCGCAGCCCAATAATATATTGAATCTTCATTATTAATTTTTTCACCAAGTCTTGTTATTACTTTAGATGGTGTCCAAAGTATATCCTATTATAAAAATTATATATTCAAATATTAAATCTGTAAAAAAATAGAATATTAATTTTCATTTATTAAATCATACTTTTGTTTTCTGTTCAGTTAACATTTCATCTAATATAGGTATGATCCAATCTTCAAATAAACAGTAATTATTATTAGGTACTAATAGATTTCCTATTCTGTTGATACCATGTTGTCTAAGACTTTTTCCTTCTAAATGAAAATCTCCTATATATGTTGGTGCTAAGCATTTTATCAAATCTTCTTCTACACCACCTGCTGTGGTTACAATACAATCAATCTAAACAATAAATGCATAATTATTGATATTTAAATTATGAATAATATTGAATATGGTTTTTAAATATATTAACTAACCATTTTATGCTGTACAAGAAATCTTATAGTATCTCGAATTCCACATGAAGCCATATTAGATGTATATCCCAAAAATATTGTACACGAAGATTTTCTTCTTATAAAATTATCTTCTTCTAAAGTATCAATTTGATCATCTTCAAGGGGAATATTTCTAGCATTTATCATTTTCTGAATTTCATCTACTGCTAAACCAAAATTTCTTGCTTGAAAACCCGAATTTTTATATGTTTCAAACAAAGCATGATAATTAATTCCTTTATTCCAGTCATATCCTGAAATATATTGATATTATTTGAAAATTAAATTGTAAATTATATTAATTATTGATTATTCCAAATTTTTGAATTTCTCATTTTGCAAAGAAGTTATACAACCTTTCACAACAGGTGTTCCCATTGGTATAGGAGAACTTTGCATTAGTACAGCATTTTTAACAATTTCTGGAATTTTATTCTGTGAATTTCGTATATCATCATTCATTTTTAAGTCAAATTTATTCTATTTTTAAATTGTAATATATATATCAATATATATTAATATATATATATTGAAATGCTTTTTGAAATGCTTTTTAAATATACACTATAACCTAACATAACCTATGAAATCAAAATTCATAATACCATTTATTCACATATAAAAAAAGCAATGCTTTTTATAATAAGTTAATAATTGAATAGTTGTTATTATTTATATTAAGGTCATATTATATTAATATTTATTATACATAAATTGTAATTGTTTTTTAAAAAATTAATAGACTTCTTATATTAATATCAATTCCTATAAAATATGAAAATTTAAAGAAAATACTACATATAAAAATTAATATTCTTCTTTCTTTGGATTAATTTTTACATTAACGAATAATTGATTAACAATTTCCAATTAATAATCATTATTTAAATTTTGGATATATAAGTTTTTGTCGATGATCAACTGAGAAAGATTATCAACTATATAAAATAATTCGAAATCGAAATAATGTTTGTTTTAATTCGCTCATTATCATATTGATTGATATAATTTGATTTTTTAATGGAATATTTTTAATTAATATCAATTTTTATGCAATAGATTATCTGTCAAATATTCAGACAATTATATCTACATTTGTTCTATCAATTTTCTATACTTCAGTTGAATCGAGTTACCGGATGTAAACAAAATCACGTGATCAACAGAAATCAAAATTACATTCATAATTTTGTTATATAGAAAAACCTTTAATTTGATTGAATTATTTTCGCAATTTTAAATTTTAAATGATAAACTTTTAAATTTGAATATTTTCCTAACCATCCAAAATTTATTATAATAGAATGAAAATTATTTTATTAAATTTTATAATAATAGAAGGAAAATTATTTATTAATTTTTGATAAATAAATATTAATATATTTATTTATTTTGATATTTCATTTTAATAAAATAAGATTATAAATATTACTATTTTTTAGAATAAATAATATAAAAAAATCATAAATTTTTTAAAAGAAATGAATTATATACTGAACAAAATAATTGTAATTGTATAAAATTATATAATTACAAATATTACGTTTTCATAATATAAAACACTTATAATTTATGCTCAAATTCATATAGTAAATTTCAAAAGTATTAAAGCCGATACACAAGTTACAAATAATTTATTTGATTGTTATAAATTTTCCATATAGAAAAATATTATTAAAATATCATAAAATTTCCATATTAGAATAGAAAAAATTAAATTTGATAATAAAAATAGCTTCTAAATAAAAATATATTTTTATGAAGATATATATCAGTATAACGAAAACTAAAATTAATAATTATAATTATTTTACACAATAATTTAAATCGATTTATTAACATTTTAGTTAGTCAATAACTGAGGTTATAATATGTATTATATGTATGATTTATTTACTTCCGGTGATTCAATTTGTTAAATGAAATATACTTCTGCAGTAGTTTCAATAAGACAGGTGAGTGGCGTTGTTGTAGATTATGAATTCAAAAGAACAACGGTTAATCGTGTCTCGATGTATGAAGTTTATTTTATTTTCGTAAATAGTGGATATAACGCGAGTTCAATAAAGTTTTTGTTTTAAGCACCAAGCATTATTCTTTCATATATATTTAAAAAATAATCAAAAAATGGCTGATTTAAGTAAATGGGAATCAAATATACAGAAGACTGTTATAAAACTTAAAAGTACATTGTCTCAATTGCATAAAATATGGGAAGAAATAGGATTCAGCGAAGAAGTACGTGCTACATATTGCGAACAAGCATTTAATCATATAGACGATCTATTTTGCGAGATGGTTTCAGAATCAGAACATAAAAAAGAAACGCTATTAGTTGGTATTAGAGAGTTAATAGAACAAGTTGGTACTTTAGCAAAAGAATTAGGTACTAATGTTATGGTTGCTGGATATGAAGATTTACCTTTGAAAGAAGTAGAACAAGTGCTGCGCACTGATTTACATAAATTACAATATTGCAAGGAACAACGCATAACACATTTAAGAGAACTGCTTACAAAAGAAAGATCCTTATGTAAAATGTTAGGTACTCAGCCAATTAATATAGAAGATAAAGTACCTTCAGAAGAGGAACTTAATAGTTTTAAGCTTTATCTTGAAAAGCAAGAAGGTGAAAAAAATCGTTTAGAAGTTATTTTTAATGAAATGCGTAGAGCAATTGTTAGAATGATGGATGATTTGGGCATTTCATCATCATCAAATTTTGAAAATTTAGTGTATGAAAATAGTGAAGATTTTGTTTTTACCAGTAGCAATATGACTAAATTAAAAGAATTTCGAGATGAACTTAAGCATAAAGTGGATACAGCAAAAGAACATGTAGAAGATATTAAACAAGAATTAATTGCATTATGGAAATATCTAGATGAACCAGAACATATTTGTCAATCATTTCTTAATAGTTACGTAGGATATAGTGTAGCAACTATAAATGCATTAAATATAGAATTAGAACGTTGTAAAGAAAAAAGAAAGCAAAATATTGCTAGATATGTATCACAAGTAAGATCTGAGCTGGTTAAATTATGGGATTTATGTAAATTTAGTGAACAGCAAAGGAGACAATTTATACATTTTAATTCTCATACATATACGGAAGATTTATTAACATTACATGAATTAGAAGTAAAGAGAATTCAAGAATTTTATGAGACTAATAAATCCATATTTGAACTTTTACAAGAACGTGATAATCTATGGACAAAAATGAAAGAATTATTACAACGTGCAAATGATCCAGATCGTTTTTATAATCGTGGTGGTCAATTATTAATGGAAGAAAAGGAACGTAAAACTATTCAGAAAAAGTTGCCAAAAATAGAAGAGCAATTAAGGAATTTAATAAAGGATTATGAAAGTATACATGGAGAAGTATTTACTATAAATGGAATGTCAGTAGAAGAATTATTAAAAGAATCATGGGAACATTTAAATGAAGAGAAAGAAACAATAAAGAAGGCTAGAAAAGAAGGAAAAGACAAATCAATAAAAAAAGTAACATTAAGTGCTTCTAAAAAAACTGTTTCAAATTCATCCAAAAGAACACCAGGTATATTAAGTACTCGTCGTCATACACCAATTAATTCATCAAAAAGGAACTTTTATTAGTCCATCTCCAAATACTTCTGCAAAACGTAGAAACATAAGCATAGGAGGAAGTGGATCTAAAATTAAAAGAAGCAGGAAAATTCCTAAGAAAATATTGCATGTAAAAAATAGTAATAAAAAAGAAAACTCTATGTCACATAATTCAACTGCGACAGATACAACATATAGTCAATTTAAAGAACATTTAGAAGATAAAAAAGAACTACGTAGTTCTTTATTACCAGAACAAGTATTAGCAAATGCAAGTAAATCTAAAATAAAATCCAAACCGGTGCGAACACCTGCTAAGCCATTAAGAAAAAATTTACCATTAGCAACTACACCAACAACTCCAAAATTATCACAATCACAATTACATAAATCGCCTCGTAGTCCAAGAATTGCACATTCATCAAGACTTGCTACTGTATCAACACCTTTACCTATAATTTTTTGAAGTAATATAAAATTTTTATTTATATAATTATTAATATAATTGATAAATGAAACTATTAAATATCTTTAAAATAAATATCTTTTAAATATTTTAATTTTATTAACAAACAATATCTTAATTATTAAAAAAAATTAAATAATAAATTAAATATTCTGATAGAATTTAATTAAAATAATTGTATACTATAATATTTGATAATTTATGTTCTATTAGAAGGAATAATAATTCATGTTATTTCTCTATGTATATTACTACTTTGTTGGTAATGTCTTTCATGTTTTGATATTAATTGTAATGCATTTTATGCATATATATGCAGTATGAATTACAACAACATATAAAGTATTATTGTATAAGTAAATTTATCAAATCATAAAATAAACTATCGATTTTCTACATATATAATACAGACATATAATTGTATGATTTCTTTCAAATTATTAAAATTTATTGATTATAATATGATATCTTATTAACTAAATTGAGTCATCGGAAATAAAGAAATCAATATCGTGTAATAGATGACTTCAATTATTAACTGATTAAATGAGAAGACAAGAATCGAAAATTATATTATTGCATAAAATGCGTCGGTGAGCACTGGCAACAGTTTTTGCTATAACTATTGTTTATTGTTATTAAATTTTTATCTCGAAAGTAATTTGTTTACTTGAATTCGTATGAATTTATTATTTGGGTATTGATACAAAAAATTTAACAAAAAAAATATGTATAAATATCCGAAACTTCGAACTGTATGAAAAAATGTAATACAGAATTAATGTATTTTTATATATATGAAGAAAGAGTATATTAAAACATTTATATTTATATTATAATTTTTATACCTTGTCTAACAATTTATTAAAATATTATTTATAAGTCTACATTTAATAAAATGAAAGAAATTTATAAAAAAAACTTACTTGGTAAAATGAACATATTGTGTATAATCACATTGTACATTATAATTTTTTTTTTATTATTTGAAACTTTAGGATAACATATTATAATTTAAAATTTTATAATAGGATCGATTCATATTAATGGAACAGAAATTAATGTCATTGATAAATGCATTAAAAGATTTTGACGATAGAACAATATCAATCTTTATATAAAATATTATTTTAAATTACAGATATTTGTAATAATATCTTACGTTTTATTATTTGAAAAAATGTTATGTATACCTATACATCATATAAACATGTATAAATCGATTTATTCACAAAATCATATGATAGGATGCAAATACTTCCGTTTCCGCTTGACGCCATAGAAGCAGTTGTTTGAGAATTCTCTTTGTATGAGGGTTATATTAATTTTATTGATAAATATTCAGAACTTTATACATTTATTAAAGTGGATAATTAAAATTTCAAAATGGGTGATATAAAATCTTTTTTTCATCAATGGTGTACAAAAAATAGCAAGGAACCACAATTTGATGTGAGACAAACAGGTATCATAAATAATTTTATAAACATTATAAAATTAAAAATTTATTAAAAAACTAATAATTTATAGGACCGAAACATCGACATCGATTTCTTTGTGAATTGCGAGTACCTGGATTTGACTATGTGGGTGCAGGAAATTCAACTAACAAAAAAGATGCTCAAGGAAATGCAGCTAGAGATTACGTTAATTATTTAGTTCGTACTGGACATGTGAATCCAAACGATGTTCCAAAAGATTCAGGAAATGTTCAATTGAATTTAGGAAATATTAAATCAGAACCTTGTAGTCCAATAAGACCTGTGTTTCAAGATGGAATGGGTCCAAATGATATAGGTCAAGCATATAGAGCTTATAATGAACATGGTCAAAGCAATTATACCTATATTGATAGAATAGCAGATCAGAAAAAAGTTGAAGATGCAGAAGATGTTGATGTAAATTCTAGAATTCATGGAAATTGGACTATAGAAAATGCTAAATCAAAACTTCATCAATTTATGCAAACTAATAAAATTAACACTGATTACAATATACCCCACTTGGTCCAGATCATACGAGGTATGGATTGTTTCAATGTAGCTGTTTACTTTTACATTGGGTTGGAAATTATTACTACAATATTATGATTGCATTTGAAGTTTCAATATTAAAGAATCTGTTTCAAGATGACAAAAACAAATTGCATGAGTGATTTACCATACCATTTGAAATTCCACAAGACCATTTTAGAGTACGCTGTTTATTTACATTTAATGCTGGTACAAGAGAAAAATGTTATTTTCTCTTGCGCACAGATAAAACTGTTTAACCAGAACTTTTATTGAAATGATTCAATAACGGTTTTGGTGCAATCACTCATATAAATTTATTACACTGTACTCCAATGTGGTCTTGGATGTTTTCAAATGGTAAGTTGAATTTATGTCATTATAATTTTGTTAGATTTATGTTTACAGAAATTTAAAATATGTTTAAAATATTAATAATATAAATTTTTGTATAGGAGTTTCATGGCTGAAATGACATTTTATGTAAAACAACTTGGGAGAAGTATGTTAAATTTTTTAATAAATATTTATAATTAATTTTTAATAACAAAAAATTTTAATAAAAATAAATTTTAGATATTACTGGTCGTGAAACTGGTTCAAATAAACAAACTGCGTCAAAAAGTTGTGCTTTATCTCTTGTTCGACAATTATATCATCTTGGTGTTATTGAGGCATTTAGTGGAACTTTAAAAAAAAAATAAGGAAGCAGAACAAATAAAACCATATCCAATTAAAATTTCACCTGATTTGATAAATCAGATAAATGATGTTCTGTCATGTTTGAATATAACACCTGTTGACTTGAAATTAAATCAGGTAATTTATTGATCTTTGATTACTTATTTTTTGTAAATCTACAATGTTTTTATTAAATGCATTAAACTATAATTTTTATCATATTAATTTATATTATAGCAATTAAATATAAATGAAGGAAATAATCAAGCTAATGTTTCTATCTCTCTATTAACAAATCAAGTGTTAGATGATTTTATTTCATCTGCACCACAACCAGCTGGAGTGGTAAGTTGGTCTCCACCACAACAAAATTGGAATCCATGGACTGGTTGTAATATTGATGAGGGACCATTAGCTATAATGACTTTAGAACAATTATCAGATGATTTATTACATGAACAACGAGAAAGATTGCAACAAAATGATAATCTTCAAAAAAGTATTAAGGAAAGATCTAGTTTACCAGTTTTCTTAAAAAAGAATGAAATAATGAATGCTATTAATGAAAATTCTATAATTATTATTCGAGGAAATACAGGCTGTGGTAAAACAACTCAAGTATGTCAGTTTATTCTAGATGATTACATTGCATCGGGTCAAGGTGCATTTTGCAATATTGCTATTACACAACCTAGAAGAATATCTGCTGTATCTGTATCTGATCGAGTTGCTTCTGAAAGATGTGAAAATCTAGGACAATCTGTTGGTTATTCTGTAAGATTTGAATCTTGTTTGCCAAGACCTTACGGTAGTATAATGTTCTGTACTGTTGGTGTACTTTTGAGAAAATTAGAAGGTGGTTTAAGGGGTGTATCACATGTTATTGTTGATGAAATTCATGAACGAGATGTTAATTCTGATTTTATTATGGTTGTGCTTCGTGATATGATTCATATGTATCCAGATTTACGAATTATTCTAATGTCGGCTACGATTGATACAACATTATTTAGTAATTATTTTAATAATTGTCCAGTAATAGAAATACCCGGTAGATCATATCCTGTACAGCAATATTTCTTAGAAGATTGTATACAATTAACAAATTTTATACCTCCTATGGATTCCAAAAAAAGAAAAAATCGAGATTCAGATGATTTACCAACTGAAGGAGAACCAGAAGAGAACTTGAACAAAATAATTGATCCAGAATATTCTATACAAACAAAAAATGCTATGGCACAACTTTCTGAAAAAGAAATAAGTTTTGAACTTATAGAAGCTTTATTGAAATATATTAACGATCAAAGTATTCCTGGTGCTATATTAATATTTTTACCTGGTTGGAATTTGATATTTGCATTAATGAAACATTTACAACAACATCCCGTTTATGGAGGATTAAGTTATGTGATTATACCATTGCATTCACAATTACCGAGAGAAGACCAACGTAAAGTTTTTGATCCTGTACCTTCTGGAATAACAAAAATTATTTTAGCAACGAACATTGCTGAAACATCAATAACAATTAATGACGTAGTTTATGTAATAGATTCTTGTAAAGCTAAAATGAAGCTTTTTACTTCCCACAATAATATGACTAATTATGCTACTGTTTGGGCTAGTAAAACAAACTTAGAACAAAGAAAAGGTCGGGCAGGTCGTGTTAGACCAGGATTTTGTTTCCACTTATGTTCCAAAGCACGATTCAATAAAATGGATGAACATATGACTCCAGAAATGTTTAGAACACCTTTACATGAGTTAGCATTAAGCATTAAATTATTAAGACTAGGAAGTATTGGAAAATTCTTATCTAAGGCAATTGAACCACCACCAATAGATGCTGTAATCGAAGCAGAAGTTATATTACGCGGTATACTTTTCATTGAATAATATTTAATCATTATTAATATTTAATAGTATAATTATATTTATCAATTTTTTTTTCTTGAAAATTTTATTTTAGAAATGAAATGTTTGGATGAAAATAATGAACTAACGCCTCTTGGTAAAATATTGGCTCGGCTACCAATAGAGCCTCGTTTAGGCAAAATGATGATTCTTGGTTGTATATTTTGTGTTGGTGATGCACTTTCCACAATGGCTGCAAATAGTACAACATTTCCAGAAGTATATAATATGGGACCTGATGTAAGACGATTATCTGCTCAACAGAAATGGTTTGCTGGTGCAAGATATAGCGATCATGTAGCAATGTTACATGCTTTTCAAGCATGGGAAGAAGCTAGAGCTGGTGGAGAATATGCAGAGCAAGCATTTTGTGATTCAAAAAATTTAAGTATGCCTACATTGAGAGTAACGTGGGAAGCCAAGGTAAATATAAATAATTACTTTTTTATCATAAAATAATATTTTAATAATATATTTTATCTATAGTATCAATTGCAAGCACTTTTGCAAAGTGCTGGATTTCCAGAAGAAACTCTTTGCCCTACACCATTAAATTATCAAGCTGGTGCGGATGTTCGTCTTGATACAATTACTGCATTATTATGTATGGGTCTTTATCCAAATGTTTGCTATCATAAAGAAAAAAGAAAAGTTCTCACTACTGAATCTAAAGCAGCATTGATTCATAAAACATCAGTCAATTGTAGTAATTATGAACAAAATTTTCCATTTCCATTTTTCGTATTCGGTGAAAAAGTAATTATTTTTTCTATCTTAATAGATAATATTTATGATGATATTATATCATCATAAAATAGTGTTAATTTATTATTTATTTCTAGATTCGTACAAGAGCAGTATCTTGTAAACAAATGACTATGGTATCACCTATTCATTTATTACTATTTGGTTCCCGAAAAGTTGAATATATTGATAATGTGGTAAAACTGGATAACTGGATCAACTTAGATATGGATCCGATTCATGCAGCAGCAATAGTAGCCTTACGACCTGCATTAGAAAGTCTTGTTGTGAAAGCTGCCAAAGAACCAGAAACTATTTTAGAATTAAGTTTGAACGAACAAAAAGTACTATTTTATTAATTTTTTTTTTTTTTTGTTTGCATTTCTTTCAAATAATAAAAAATTACTTCTTTTTTTTTTTAGGTACTAAACGTGATCAAATCATTATGTGGAATGAATGCTTGTCGTTATGAACTAGATCAGATTACAGGTGGTGGTTTTCAATCACGAAGGCCACCAAGAGGACATTCAACTGGTTTTCATTTGGATAGCGGTAATCCTTCAAAAATGATGCGCGGAGGTGCTGGTTATCGTGGGAGACCTTATAATGGAGGTGGTAACAAAGGCGGTTTTTCAAGATATGAGAATTATGGTGGATACAGAGGCGGTAGTAATAGAGGATATGGAATGAATAATTCACGCGGAAGAAGTGGTGGAAATAGAGGTGGTAGAGGAAGTTTTCGTAGTCGTTATTAATTATAGTTTTTAAATGATCTTATTAATGATCTTTAAATGACTGTAATACATTATCTTCTACTTAAAATGTATAATATTTTTGTTTTTATATTATTTCTTTTAAAATGTTATTACATTTTTAAGTTCAACAAAATTTTTGTTATCCCTCTAAATAGTACAAATAAAGCCTTAAAAACATTCAAAACTTGGAAGTATTAAATATATATTATCTATGAATGTAGTAGCGTCTTTTTGAAAAATTATTGCGATAATAGAGGAATGATTCATTACAAACAGTCTGCATAGATCATACCCGGATTAAGGAAATGAAACGCTATTACATTATCTAATAAAGCTTTATGGAAATAGAATGAAGACACAGCCATCTAACGGGCATAATGGAAACGGAAAAATAAGTTTCCATCTCTTGTGATTTCATAGGTTTATTTGTGAACACGTCAGGAACTAACCATACGTCTATAGTATTGGTCGGTATTGAGTGAAAAAAATGGCGAATGTCTGCGTATAGACGATCGTCAACAGAGTTGACAGAAACTAATGAAATTGGCTAATGTCAAAAACTACAACGTAATGCATGAAAAATGTATTCTCTAGTCCGCGCCGCCTTGGTGCGTTTCGTATGATCAGGTACAACGTTTTAGTGTTCAAGTGTTCAATCGAGTGAGAAAACAACGAGAGAAAAAAGGAGAAGCAGGAGATCCAGTGGTTGCGAAACGTCACAAATCACAACACGGAACAGGCCACTTCAAGGCAAGACGTTCCACTTTGTTTTTAGAAAAGCTTCTGATACTTAAAAATAATGATAATGTAAATGTACCATGGGGCTCATCAATTTTTTAATATGAAGTTGCAATGATTTAATTTAATTATGTCGTTTTAAAGTGTATTCCGATTTTGAATTGTGTATAGTGCAAGGTTATGTGCAATTATGCGTTTGACATTTGAATTTCTTACAAACATTTATCAAGAATTTTATAGCCGTATTTGGCAATTAATGCATCATAAAATTATGATTAATTTTGAATCATATAAAAATTATGAAATTAATATTTTTTAACCACGTTTTGTTATTTGAATCTTTTTTAACAGAGTTCATAATTATTATCGAAGTAAAATCGAAGTACTAAGAATTAAGAGTTGAGTGTAACGATCGTTTCTACATTTTTATATTAACATTTTTATATAAATAATATTTGTTCAAATGCACAATAATAAAAATTATTTTTTTATGTAGTTGTGCAATGCTGTTTCTTAGACATGTCATTCTTATCTTGTAATATAAACTGCTTATTTGGCAAAATGCCTAAAAACTACTTTAAGATATAATGTTATATATTAATGAAAAAGAAAAAATATGAATAAAATTTAAAAGAAAAACTTAAATTGTAATAAAAAAATTAAAAAATAATATTTATTTGGAATTTTTATATTTTAGGTATAAAAAATGAGTCAGATACAAATGGATCAAGAAACAGTATATGGAACTCATGAGGATAGTCATGTGGTCATGTCAGAAAAAGTACAATCTTTGGCTGGTAGTATTTATCAAGAATTTGAAAAAATGATAGCTCGTTACGATGAAGATGTAGTGAAAGACCTAATGCCCCTCCTAGTCAATGTTCTAGAATGTCTAGACATATCTTATACTGAAAATCAAGAACGTGAAGTTGAATTAGAATTATTAAGAGAAGATAACGAACAACTTGTTACACAATATGAAAGAGAAAAACAATTAAGAAAAACATCTGATCAAGTATGATTTCAAGTTTTTTAGTATTTTTTAATTTTGATATTTCATATGAAATAATATATAATGATCTTTGATGAAAAATAATTTTATGGTTTTTTAAATAGAAATTATTAGAGCTTGAAGATGTAGCAGAAGATGAAAGAAAAGAACTTCTATCAAAAATTGATAGTTTGGAATCAATTGTAAGAATGCTGGAACTGAAGACAAAAAATTCACATGATCACGGTACAAATTCTAATGGCTCTCTCAGTTCATCCCTTCATAGAACATCCCTCTACAGTAGAGTAGAAAGTTTATTGTTTTATGTTTATTTATTTGTTTAAAATTATATATGCATCTGGGATCTAAAATATTTGCATGCATATTTCTAAATATTTGTTTTATTATTTAGTGCTTTATTTATTATTATTTATTATATATTTAACATATGATATATAATTTATTTTTATGCTATACATTATATTATATCTAATTTAAATGTGCATATTATATACATTATAATTTTATATTATTGCAAGAAAGTTTATTATATATATTATTATTTAAAAACGCAAGAAAATTTTTTATGTTTGATTTGATGAAAAAAATTTAATGGAATATTTAGATAATTATTTGTCCAAAATAGATGTCTTTGATATCAATAATTTTTGGATGTTATAGTAATCAATATTAAAAACAATTTTTTTCTATATATATAATTGCTTTAGTCTTACTTTTCAATAATTATAATAATCAGATTTGCATATAATATTTATCATTACAATTTCATTATCATTGTCAATTTCAAATTCATTATCAATTTCGCCTTATATTTTATTTTAAGTTT